CATGGCACCGTGCCCTCAAAGTGAGTCCAGTCATTAGATGCATCATTCTGAAATGTGATTATTGACCAAAAGAGAGGAACTTGAGCATCACAGATGGATGAGAAGGGCTTAGAAACAGGTAACAGGATTGGTAACAACTTAGTCATAAGTACGTAAGACACAGCGGCACATCGCTGTCATTGACAAGAACTGCTATTTGCAAGTTGCACTTCCACGAGCACCATCAGCACACTCACCAATCAAGATTCGAAAACGAGCATTTTTTAAGACTGGCATTTTTTTAATGGCATCAGCCTGATGCCAAGCACAAGTCAGTAAGAAAGCCACTGTCACATACAGCAAAAAGCTGAAGCAAATACGAAGGATGCTGCAACAGTCAACTACTTAAGAGGGAACAGGGTGTTACAGTCCGAAAGAGAACTTTCCAACAGTGAAGAACATGATGCATTATACTTCAGGAATAAACACTGAACCTGACCAGACAAGCTCATAATAATTTCTACTTGATTTTTTAGTTTTCCTTAATACTTTTTGTATTTAAAGATTGCAATTTCAGTTTGAAACTGCAACTATTCAGAAGCACTGCCTAGCAGCCCCATTATGAGTCAGGTACTCATTTTACTGTACATAAAGGCATGCTGAGGGGAAAGGAAAGAACACCCCACACTTGGGGTACTTTTTGTCTTAATTACTGGAAAAATTAATTTGCCCAAGCAAGTAAATAACAGTGATCTATATCAACCCCACTGATCCTCCTTCTCTTACCCAGTTAATCCGAGTGTGCCAAAAACGATTTTCTAATGATATTATTTTGTGATTTTACAGCTACTTACATTGATGCTGTGCAAAGGACACAAGCAGTTATTCTTGGTCATGTATTTACAAAACCCTGAATTGAGAATGATTTGAAGAGTTGCTTGTCTGAATTTCTTCTACTAAAGAGGTTCACATGGTACTGCATTGGAATAGTCAGGCTAAATCTAAATTAAGATTAATTAGCCCAAGCAGAACAGCAGATTGACACAGCCGTATTCCTTCCAGATACAAGTGTTTACATCAGGTAAACCAGGTACTTTTGTGTAATATACTCTGTGTCTGACAAACCTTCTGCAACACTAAGCCACAAATTTTGTTGCAAAACAGTTATTAAAAAAAAGCCTTCCTAGTTCTTAATTAATGCAATGTTAACTTCGATTGCCCTGTTTCTATGGGTTGATACATATGCAGGATGCACACCTCTGGTGTCCCACCCTGAGCCCAGGTGATGCATACTGAGCATAAGCACAACGTTCTGAAACAGGCTTTGAGCATTTCAGATCTTGCTTTTTAACTTGAATTTCAGAATTAATTTTAGATGGGTGAATCATATCATGAAAACAGGAGTCCATTTATTTGTTGGTTTTTAAAAGCCGTATAATTCTTAGCCAGCCTCTAATTGCGTTATATTAAATATTCACTAGAAATACACAGAAAATTTACACATTCTTCATCCTAACTATTCTTTTTGTCCTGGAAACAAAATTTGTATTTATTCACTTAAAATTATTATTGATTTTTTTGTGCCAACTGAAAACCTGCCCCCTGACTTGGCAGCCATGGCTCCACCCTTCTCCTGCTGCACCCCACAACACTTCTCCTGACTGTGCCTCTCTCCCCTCCAGTCCTCCATCTGCCTGAATGGCCAGGCTCTGGGACAACGACTGCCTTTGAAGTGTTCACCACGCATTTCAGCCAGAGCTGCAAGGCTCTGCTCTCAAGCCTAACAGGAAGGTAGAAGAGTTATAAAATTCATATTGGAGGGATTTCATCCTATTCCTCTTCTTCACAGAAACTCAAAGAAGGGAAGAACATGAAGCATGGAAGGAAGCTCTAGAGAAGAATCCAGCCAGGTCAGCCAACCAACCTCCATGCTTCTCTGAAGAAAGAGGGTGCAAAGGTCAGTTCTATGTTTGCATTTCTAAAATGTTTGTATTTCTAAAGAGCGTAAAGTATCAAATATCCTTCTTGGAGAATAACTCCTCTCCAGTCTCTTACTGAGTTGCTATATAACCATACAATAAATATTATCCTGCTCACATGCTTCTGTTTACTTAGCATACAGTACATTTGATGCTATCTAGCAGCATAAGTTTTAGTTCTGTCATCTTAAAATAGTAATAGTTGTCAATCAAACTAGAAAGTGCATAATAAAAACATTCTAGAAACTAATAACCCTATATTTCTACACTCAACTTGAAGCTGAGCATTTCTTAAAATGAGATTAATTATATGTTTGTACAGTGCCCGATACAATCAGACAGACCTCTAAACAACATCCTCCTAGCACTGAACACAGACTATAATCGTATGGAGAGTGTTTATGTATATTACACAGTATGTGCAGCAGTAACTTAATAGCATCACCTTCACTTAGCCCAGTATTTTGGTCTGTGAGAGAGTTTTTTTGGGGGGAGGGAAAAAAAAAGCCCAGTACTAGAGTATTAGCTGGAGGATGAGAGAAAAGGGCACAGTCAATACCCCAGTAACTTATGGCAATATTTTACAAATATTTGGAGGTATGAAAGCATTGAGGAGAGAGACACTGGAAAAGTCCTCAAAGTTACGACCAACATAACATGGTGAACTGGTGACTTGAAAATAAAAGTGTCAGGAAAATATCCTTTGAATTACACCTGTGAAACTTCAGTGGGAACTTCACTGCTTGGGACTGCTCTGGAATTAGTACTAGTAAATACACTGTAGGGAACAATCCTAAAACATCCAGAAGATGGACTAGATGTAGAACAGGTCTTTTGCTGTTCCATTTTTTATTATTCTAATCCATCACCCTTCCTCAGGTGGTGAAGTTTTATGTAGACTTTAAAAATTATGACCATTAGAAAATTATGCATGTGTCTGTGTAATATATACATACATATGGATGTAAGGTCTGGTTTTTACACTAACACTAAAGCACAGAAAAAAATCTTTGTACTTCATTTGCCCATGCTACAGCTGTAACTGTGCATTAATCTGGCAAGTGCAGATAGAAATTTCTAATTATGGTTATGTGAATGCACTATTTGCATAATCGCAACCACTGAACTTGCAACTTAGGCATGCAATAACTTTGGTATGCTTACTGTTGGCACTGCAGCAGTATAGGACTGTGACATGCTTATGTCACAAAGCAAGGGCAATCTGACAACTTTGTCCAAAACCAGAAATTCAGAAATCCTGCAAGACAGACACGTTGACACCAAAGGATGCAGAACAGGCTCATGGGAACAGTCACGTGAGGAACTCTAAATAAAGCCTTTCCCATTAGGGATACTCAAGAAAAAGGTTAAATATGCTAAAGAGCGAACTCTTTTCTGCCTATGGTGTCATTTCTCTCTGAACCCTGCGTCCTGTTTTGCAGAGAGGCTACAACTTTTGGTGACTTCCTGAAATCTGAAGTCCACCGAGGATTTTGTGCTGACAACCTGCTAACAGTACAAGTCATTCAGCGCAATGGCTGCAGAAGGCACCTCTGTTCCCAAGTCATGGGATGGCAGAACTCTTTATGGATGTGCAAGGTGTATTAAAGGAGGAGGATGAAGGCTTTGCTTTGTCCATCCATCTTATTGTTATTTCTATTGTTCTGGAATGGAAACCCTCTTATTGACCAAAACGTAAGGCAATCACCACATATAAGAGACAAGGTAAAAATCATTGTCATTCTTCAGTATGAACGAAAAACAATGAAATGGTATGGAAGAAGGAAAAAGTGCTTTTAAAATTGCTTTTAATCTTTTAGACATTAGTAGCCATGATTGGCTTTCCTGTGTAGCCCACTCTGAGTTTGCCATAGCGTTACAGTGAGAAACAGTAGCCTACACTGATTTTTATACATAAATCTTAACAACTCCGATTGCTGCTAAGGATGCAGAATGGTGGCAAGATAAGGCCATTCACCATGAAGGTCTTAAAGCCTTCATAATTACTGAGTATACAGAATATTTATTATAAATACTGTGCCAGGCCTCTTTTGTGAGCTGCCCTGGGCCTGTTCTCTGAGCCACGTCAAGCAAGAAGTTTAAATGAAACTGCTCCCAAGTTTCTGAAATGGTTTAATAAAACATATACTGACTGTAATATTCAGTTTATAGTAGAAAAGTATTGCCCCTTGGTTTGAAAAATGACCTCTAGTTGGCAATTTTACTCTCAGCTTCATAGATTATAGTCCGCTGTTGGTCATTTTCTCAATCCACAGGGCAATACTTTTCCATAACAAGCTCAAACTGCAATCAGTATTTGTAGGCTGTTACACAAGTTGAGGATAATATGTCTCAACCCGTCCTATTATATGACTAAACAAAAGAAATAACAACCTGGTGACACAGACATATGGAGAAAAACAGTACGATTCTTCTAATTTTCTAATGCTGAGATAGCAGAAAAACATTCTTTTGTTGTGCTAATTTATATTAAATTTAATGTCTTCAATATACAATTATCTCTGATTTGATTTTTTCATTGTTTTGTGTTATATTGTTTTATGTCTATACTTATTCCAACGTAAAACAGCAAATACTAAATTCTATTAGTATCAGATTTCAGAAATGACAGATTGTGACTGATAACTTAACATGGCAAAATCATATTGAAATGTATTCACATAGGTATCTTAAAGATCAGTTGCTCTTGGGCACACAAAGCACGCATTCATAGAAACTTCAGACGTTTTACATAAGGAAATTCCGATATAGTTTAGTAGGCAAGTTGCAACTAATTGTATCTGCACCCACTTCCAGCACATGAATATGAGATTAAACACCACATTTCAGGAAGGTAATTCCCCTATTATGTAATCAAATGGATGCACTGTGTTGAGAATAAGTCAAGGAACGGGAAGTGAGAGACCTGGCATCTATTCCAAGATGTGCCATTGACGGGTCTGTCAGCAGCAGGCCTTAAGAAATGCCCACCCCTCCTTCCTACATCACAGCTACTCTGCTCTGTAGGCTAATGCAACTTACCTAGCTAGCTGGAGTGCAGCAAAGTTTAATTCTTCTATCGATGGATGATGGAAGCTCTCGCAGATTCTTTACTGTAAATGCAAAATATTTATAATTACAAGAGTAATATTCTTCCCCATCTGTAAATAAAACTCTGAAGTTAAATATGACACCCACCCGTGCTCAGAGCCAAAGAGAATAACTTCCCAAGCTGCAGCTACAGTGGGGTCAAAGGTGGACATTTTGCCAACATTCATCCAGAAATTAAGAGTTTCAACAACTAAATGGCATTTTTCTGGGAATCTGGGTGTAGAAAGGAGAACCTCAGCTGTAAGACGACCCAGAAGAGAAAAGAAGTTCACAGTAGTTCTGTATGTGTTGCTTTAGAAACCATAGACAACTACAGACATCCATCTATAATGCTGCATTTGGTATATTAGAGGGACAGATTTTGCTGCTGTTCTTGAGTTTTGGTGTTTTGTTTTTGTTTTTGTTTTTTTGCTTTGGGGGTTGTGCAGTATTTGTTTGGGTTTGTTTTTTTAGGATAATAAAAGTGACACACGTGCCACAGCATAACGGATTAATCAAGGCAGATGATGTTTATCCTAGGTCCTGAGTTGCATATCTTCATAACTCACTCATAAAAATTAATGTATTGTAGATGCACCACCGTGATGTATCTATCTTCTATTTTTACCCGTTGAGAATAAATTGTTCTAAATTGGATTATCCTGATATCCAGTAAGAAATGTAAAAGTTACATTGTTATTTTAAGAATTTACATTGCTGCGTATAGAAAACAAATCTTCACACTGTGCTTTTGAACTGTCATGTTACTCCCACTGTTATGAAATCAGAGATGCTGCTGCCACACCTAAAATCAAATGCAGTATATGCTGTGTTGCTTCACAGACTGTTCACTTGGTAGCTTAATCACAGAACTATACATGGGATGCTTTAGGACTGATCTTTCATAGCTGACCGTTTCTGTACATAAGTAATACACAACTATGTACACAAGGACTCATAAAATCCTTATTTCTAAAATCAACAGATGAAAAAAATCCCTAGATAATAATGTACAGATGTTTCCTACCTAAATGAGCTGCTGGCATTTAGTGCTGCCAATCACACAAGCAATGAAACTGATGAATTTCAAGGTACTCAGCATTTACAATGCATTATTTTTTTGTAATCAAATGATCACTTTACGATGACTGAAAAAATGATTAGTCAAGAAATTTACAGCGATACGCTTTCATTACATCTCTAAATTCCTAAGTGTGGTCAACAACACCATATTGTTCCATACCAATTCCTTTTCCTTTTACCTCAAGGAAGTTGATTCTGCTGTCCTTAAGCTGCAGCACTTCACTAAAAGCACATTATCTGCACGTTATCTATGGAGTAATCCTCTTCTCAAATACAAGACAGAACATCAGTTTCTAATCCTACACAGATAGAGTAATTCACATCCACTGTACATTTTACTGTAAAGACGGAGTAATACAATATGTTTGATAAATCATGTATGCGTCTGTGTACAAAGAGAAAGGTTTATCTTCTTTCCTACTAGATGCATCCATATCAAGGCACACGCTCCCCATGCTGGCACTGTAACAATCTTCCCAACCTCTGTAATAGAGACATCTGAGTTTAAAAAATGAAGCAGCCCACAGGTCAAACAAGTTCCTGATGAGAAGTACTTAACCAGAAATATTATTTCACTGATTCTAAGTTTTCATCCATACATCAAACCCTAAAGCCTATTGATTAAATAAAACTGATCTTCCTTTATTTCAAAGCAAAAGAGAATTAAATGATCTCCACTCTTTTCCTTGGTTTGGAACTATCAGGTAGTACACAGCAGCCACGTGTCTTCCTTATAATTGTAACAGCCTTAAGGAGAGCTTATCCTGCAATGACTGAGCACAGGTTTCTTGTCACTTCCTCTAAATCTTCTGCACCTGGTCATAATAATTGGAAGCTGATGGTCCAATATTTTTGATCCAAAATGATATGATCCAAGACCTGCTAAAAATCAATACATCCCTTTTCCTTGGAAAATTTTGCATTGGGACTACCGCAGGGATGTGTGAATACATGAATTTACTGCAATTATGGTGGCACATCTTCTCATGGCCTCTTTTTCACTGTGTCATTATCTGCATTGTGCTTTAAGTTCTCTTGCAGTCCCACATCCAGTCAAGCCAGCCCTTGCAAAGCCTTATGCAAGTCAATGTCTGCCACCTTTGAGAATGAAGGGTTTCTTTCAGCAAGAATCTACATCAAAATATATCACCTCTGTGCATTGCTGAGCCCTGCGTGACATTAGCCAGAATGTAAAATCACCATCAAATTCTAACAAAGCAGAAACATGCAACGGACTCCTAACAACATCTTTGCAGAGCACCAAGAGGTGGATACAAAAGGGAATTTTTTGTTTGTTTGTTTGGTTTTGTTCACAAAAAAAAAGTCTAAGTTAGCTTTAAAGCTCCCCCGAGCTTCTGTGTCTCCATGCAGACTTCAGTTTGGTTCCAGTTTACCTGCACCATGCTGCTCCATACTGCTTAAACATCCTCTCATATCCAATGCAGTCAGAAAACTCTCTATCAGACATGAAGTTTCCACTCTGGAAGGTAATCCCTGCTAAAAGTGTAGCATCTCCATTTACTTGTGTTTCAACTCATACTTCCAGATGACAGTATACACACTAATTTCAATTGTGTTGCTGTTTACACATTTAGTAAAGCAAAAAAAGTACTCTTTTTTTTTTTTAAAAAAAAAAGGAATTTTTAATGTACTTCAAATCTTCAATAAATTAGCATCACAGACTACAGTAAATGAGTGATTAGCAATAAATTAATTAACAAAAAAGGAAGCTACTACTTGCTAGTTATTTCATTGCAACCAAGCTGCCAAACAACAGAATGGTGAATAGATACAGACATCTGTATTAGTTAAAGAGGCTGCAGCTTGGGCATCTCCTTCAAATCCTTAGTGCCTTTCCACTGGAAATCACAAGTTCAGCACCAGCAAAGCTAAGTGAAGGTAAGAGCCTTTCTTCTGCTAAGTAGCACTGATTTCTGCCTATAGTGACATTCAGATGAGGATTGATCTAGTCACACAGGTAGAAAACAGTCTGCCACCAGTGAAGAGTAGTTCATAACTGCCTCCAGGTATCAAGATACAAAAAAGAAACACTGAAAATAGAATAAATCAACAGATATTTTGCAAAATATATCAATATTAAACCCTTAATTTTCTCCAAATCAAGAAACCAGAAGTCAGAAGACCAAGAATCAGAGACAGGATTTTCCTATTTCTTATCTTTCCTATTTTCCTATTAAAGAGCATATGGTTTCTCCTGAAGTCTTTGATTGATACATGATCTTTTCTTTCTTTTCAGGCAGAACAGCTGTCCAGTGAACTAGAAGAAATAGCCCTGAAGTAGCTTTGTGTCTGATATGACATTGAGAAGGAAAATCATCCCAAAGATAAATGCTTCAAATGAAGTTTCTAAAGGATAGAATAAATGAATATATATGACAGATTTTTTTTTCCTCTTTGAGCAAGCAATCACTGTAACCATAATTTGGGATTAGCTTTTGGGGAGGTGAAGTGGGGGAAGTAGGGCAGTTTTTGATACAGAAAAGGTACGTACTTCAAAGATGGATTTGGAACGACCCTAACCAAAAGAGGCAACAGCAGCTCTCGACAAGGTCACTGAGGAAGAAACAGTTTTACGAAGATAGTCTGGACTCCATCACCTGGAATAGACTGAAACTTCCTTGATTCTTCTCTGTAAGAAAATGCTCTAAGAAAGCTAAAACACATGCTCTGCCGGTTGATAAAGACTTGAAATCTTTGACTCAATAACTGAGCAGAAATGGCTTTGCTGAATTTGCCATATAGATGATTTTCCTGAATTTGGACTCCTGTATACCCAGTGCAGAACAGGACTGGTCTCAGCTGAGAAATGCCTAGCAGAAGAGCACAATGGCCTTCTGACTGTCCTACCTTTGTAGGCCCTGAATCCTTAACCTAGAGCTCTTTGCTCACCCTACCCCAAACTTCATCTTTCAACACAATTAACCTTCCCCCAAAACCATTCTTCTCACTTTCATTTGCCTCCCAACCAAATACCCATTCTCCTCCCTTCCTGCACCAAAATCTTTCTAAACTTCCCTGTATGTTTATTTCTGAAGCTAATTAAAAATAAATTAGATCCTTAGCATTAAGAAAAAAATCGTAAACACATTCTCATATATCTTTGTACAGTCATAAGTAATACCTCGCCCTCCCTGTGAATAACTCACATGGTTTTCTTGTCCCTGTTCTCAATTCCCCCCTCTCCCCCCCACCCAAGTCATCCCTGCTTTCTCCCCCTCCCACATAAACAGCCAATAACCCCGTGCAGCAGTGGTGTAACCGCTGGCATCAGACTGTTCTCCTGCTGCCTCACCTGTCTCTGCTGGCATCTCAGGGTACCAGTCCTTGCTCTCACACAGGTTCTATATGCACAGGCTGAAGTTCTCAGAAACCCTTCTCAATGGGATTCCAACAACAGAAGAACAGGAGATAAGATCATGAAAGCAGCCCCAGTATGGTGCCCCATCAGGAAGCCAACTAAATCTGATAGACGTGGTCCTCTCAGTCTACAAGTAGAAAAGGGCTGAGCATTTAGAGAGGGAAAAAGCAGCTCAGAAAACACCATGATATGGTCTGTAATTGGCCAGCACCACACAGCAGACAAAAATCTTTTGCCTAGGTCTTTAATTCTGGGGTAATCAAAACACTACTTTCTTCCACACACATATATGCTGTATATATGCTTATATTCTTAATTTTTCCCCCTCTTGCCCCCTACTTTTAGTTTACAGTGACTAAGAGCACAATTATTTTACAGAGATACTCTGTAACAAGCTTACAGGATGCCTTTAGTAATAAGATAATTATTTGAAACTCCATAAAGAATTATAATTTTTAATTTAAAAAAGAAATCAAATAAAAACAGCTTTCATCTTTCCTGCCATGTGAAGAAAACATTCTCTGCCTACATCTCAAATTATCATTCTCTCCTTTGTGCAAA